AAAAGAGTAGACATTCCTTAGGTCAATGATCGGCAAACCGTGGCTCTTTGGCCCCTTGAGTGTGGCTCTTCCACAAAATACCATGTGCAGGCGAGCACATACAGTGTGATTGAAACTTAGTAGCCCATGCGGAGAAGTCGGTTTTCGGCCTGGGGGAGTCTATTTTGAAGAAGTGGTGTTAGGAGAAGTGGGGGTACGTTCGCTGAGGTCGACCCCTCAGATTGAGGACGTTTTTAGCAAAGGCCAGCTTAGGAGTACCCTAATTAAGTTAATAACAATGTACCTACCTATATAGTTTAAGTTTAAAAAATTTGGCTCTCAAAAGAAATACCAATCGTTGTACTGTTGATATTTGCCTCTGTTGACTAATGAGTTTGGCGACCACTGCCCTAGGTCATATTTTTCAAAAGGTCATTTTATGAATATGGAAAAGTCCTCTTCTAATCATGAAACATAACAGCTAAAACATAGCTGCAGGTCAAGTGCAGGTTACAGAGGTGTTCTATAGGCTGATCTGTGACTTCCTCTTCTTCTCAGTACAATGAAAGTATTATAACTATTCGGAATCTGTCATCTTCCATTCTGCATGAATCATTTCCTTTCTATAACAGACACATCAGCATACACTTCTCATCTGCTAGAAGACATACCCTGCTTCTGAATGTTGTTTTCCACTGTTTATTGAGATTGTGAGGGATAGTTATATGTTCTTTTTGTTGTTTGTTTAGAAAGCCATGTCATCTGAAACTTAGTTCCTTTGTAATTTGACCCAAGAAAATTCTCTTCCCTGATACAGGAGTTTTTAGCTAAATAACATATAGAAGAAGTTAGATTGCCAATTCAAAATTAATTAATCCTTCTTGGAAATTTTGACATTTATTCTTTTCTTTTCTTGGTGATAGAGGTGTAGGACTTGTAACAGGTGCAGAGAATATATAGTGAGCTCAGAGGAAGTCTTAAATATGCCTTGGACACCCACCATATGGTGACTAATGTCCCCTTCCTTTCTTGTTCACCACATGAAAACTTTACGTTATCATCTGTGTATAACGGTGGCCAGGAACAAAGGAGATAGCTACCATGTATGAGTGTGAAAAAGTGTGTGGGTATTTGGTTGCCACTTGCTAGTAGGTCTGTAAACTGGACATTTTACAGGTGAAGCAGGTATGTTCAAAGAGGCTACGAGACTTTCCTAACATCCTTCAGGGACAACTGGCTGGAAGGGGTTCGCACACAGGATGTCCATCACCAAAGTTCATGCCCTTCCCCAAGTCAACAAATGCCCTAAACACAATCAGCATATTAAAGGCGTGGACACGTTAAGGCTTATAAACTCTCACAAATTCAAAAAAGCCACGGGGGAAATCCTTGCTAAAAACCCCCAGTCACCATACTTGTTTTGGCATGACTGTGCCTAAGGTGATCTGAGAAGAGAATTGACTTTGCTATAGTTTGAATGCAATCTTGCTATTATATTTTGCAATAATCCCCTTTTAGTTAAGAAAAAAATGCTTATATGTATAAATAAAAAATGTATTTCTTTCATAGAGTTTATCTTATCAGCATTGCCTAGTATCAAGTATAATGGTGAAGGAAAATACTTGAGGAAAATGCTTGGAAATAACCTAAAATTCTCTTTCATAAAAACTTATAGCAATGTTCAATTTCAGGTATTTCCCCCCAAATTTTGTTTATCTTGTCAAATAAATTGCTTTCAAAGGGTAGGATGGGAAAGACCTTCCAGTAGGCTCCTCTGTAGTTTATGTGAGAATTCCAAATAGAAAGAGGCTCAGGGCCGTGAAAGACAGAAGGGGAGGGGGACTGGGGCGAGGGGCGCAGGTTAATGCAATAGAATGGAACAGCCTCAAAGAGTAAGTGTGGAGAAAATCTTCCATAGAAAAAGGAGGACCATAGTGAGGTGAAGAGAAAAGAAATGGAGGTATAAAATTAGAAGTGAGATTCATGACATTTAGATTCAACAAAGGTCTTTAGCAGATAATGTTTGTGCACCATTACCCAAGCATTTGGTTAAACTACTGGAAAGTCATTTATAGTAAGTAATTGTAGTTTTTGATATAGCAAAATGCACAAAAGTTCCTGACTTTTAAGTCTTGTCCTGTGTAATAAAAGGATTTTTAATGTGTTTCTCCAGCCAAAGCAATTGCGCAGTCTTTATTTGGGAATGTTTTTTTGGTAGGTGTAATCTTTCCATTTCATTATTGAACCCCTCACCCCCTAAAAGAAAGTGTGTATATAAGGAAGAAATATTTTTTAAAACAGTAAAAATAGGCTTCAAATTTACTACTCTGGGTAGAATATCTCTATTGCTAATTTTATCTTTATATAATTAGTTAAAAAGAATTAGTGAGTGTGTCACCTGTGAGGAGGTTTATGTCTAAAACCAGACAAGATGGGATAGCTTAGTGGATTCTTTCCCTGCAATGATTTGGAAAAAATGCATGGCTTTTTATCTTTTATGAGCCTCTGTCTCGTGGTATGTAATTGAACATTCCTCTCCCGTCTTCAGTCTTCATGCAGGGCCTCTAGAAAGGTTTCCAGCAGGGGCACATTTTTAGACAGGGGGAAGAAACAGTTCAGAGTTCTTTTGGACCTCCTCAGCTTGTCTCTCTATCTGGCCATCTCTCTCTCAGCCTCAGTCTTTCACTGTCTTTTATCCCCCGCCCCCCAACTTGGCTCCTTCAACCCTCTACTTCCTTCCAGCTCAGCTCTATGTCATGGTAATTACCAGCCAAGACCAACTCATGCATGTGTGTGCTGTAGCTGAATCATTCTCACAATTATAAAATTATTCAAGGCAGTAGAACCAAACTGTTCCTCACCACTACCCAAAGAATATAATCAACCCTGGCCGGTTTGGCTCAGAGTATAGAGCATCAGCCTGCGGACTGAAGGGTCCCGGGTTCAATTCTGGTCAAAGGCACATGCCCAGGTTGCAGGCTCGATCCCCAATAGGGGACGTGCAGGAGGCAGCCAATCAATGATTCTCTCTCATCATTGATGTTTCTATGTCTCCCGCTTCCTTTCTCTCTGAAATCAATAAAAATATATAAAAAAGAATATAATCAAACATTATGTTCATATTTGTCCACCTGAAGTATACCATAAATTATATGAATTAAAGGATATTTAACTCAGCTAACCTGAGGAAGGAGGAAATATTCAAAATAATATCAATGAAAGTACAGCCCTTGTTTCTTCATTACATGCTGCACACAGCTCAGAGACCTGATACAGCCAGACTTTTTCCCTCAGAGCCCTATTTCAAAACAGAATGTGTCACACGCAGCCCCTGGAGCAGTCCTACTCTCACTTCTTCATACTCCACCCTAGCACACCCAAGAGTTCATCCTGTTGGAAGGTTTCAGCCTTCCTCTGAATCCATTATACCTTTCCATGTTCCTGACCCTCTTTCATAAAACTGGCTCATACAAAATAGTCAGAATTCTCAGCCAGGAAGTCAGTAGGCGGTTCTTGGAGTTTGATCACCTTTGTGTCCAACTACTGGGTCAGGTGAGAATCCTGGTTCCAGTTTGGCCTCTGCCCCATTTCCATTGTCTTGTGACTGTGTATTTACATGCAAAGATCCATTCTTTAGGGGTTAATTTTAGCCAGAGTTCGGTGGTTTTATATAAGTCAAGCCAACCCACATGTGCTACAAAGCCAAGTTATCAGACCTCAGAGTCACATGCCAGGTCTTCCTTAGGTGGCAAAAGTCGTTCTGATCTATACGCTGAATTGCTGCCTCCATGTTTCTTGTATTCCCATAGGAGGTTTTGCTAAGTATTCACAAAAGAGTGGTTATGAGTCAGACTTTTACTTGCCGCTCTCTGTATCAAAGGAGGCCATGCTGGTGGGCCAGCTCTCATTCCTGGATGGCAAGCACCTCCGGCCCTGGCAGGATGGGGGACTACATGACTTGAAAGTTCTCTGCTAAAACTTCTAGGCAGAAGTAAAAAAAAAAATGTAGCAAGCATTTGCTTAAATGCATAATGGAACCAGCAAAAAATATTAGAAATATTGTCAAGGGGCAACAACAAAAGGGAGCTGGAAACTAAAAGAGTGAGGGTGTGAGCCCAGGCTGCTGTTGAGCTTCAGGCTTGGGTTTCCGAGTCCACCCAGGAAAGAGAAGGTCTAATGCCTTTGCCCAGGAATGACATCCATTCAGACTGGTCTGCCTGGTGTGCTTCCCAAGAGCCATGGCTAATATAGTATGTACTTTAGATTCCTCCATGATGCTCAAAGGTAGTTTCACTCATGCCTCTGTGGATACGTCTTCATTGGGGGAGGAGGGGGGGGCGCTGGCATGGTGACAAAGCTGCTCTACGAGCTCATCAGATTAAACTAGTGCTCTCTGTTCTCTCTTGGCTTGCTGACCAGACACAGCCAGTGAAATGCTCAGTGTAGGCAATGGGGGCTGTGTGTTCACAAACACCTCTGAAGCCCAGAGTTAGGGTTTTGAAGTTGTAATGCTTATCTGCCATAATATTGGGAGAAAGTGGTACAATCAGCAACCCAGAGGTAGCTCACCACAGCCTTTGGGACAAGTGGAAGGAGAGAGACTCACGAGGAAGTATTATGACTGCCTGCCTAGTGGTGAGGAAAGGGTGCCCTGAGGAGGATCTGACCAAAATCAGTTGGAAAGAACACCGCATACCCCTGGTTTGAGACTAGGGCAGTGACCTGCTCCACCTGTCGCAGAGTTAAGTGGAACTTTGCAGCCAAGGCCTGTGTGTGATGGTGGCACTGCTGTTCCAGTGACCGTGAGTAGGATTGTCATGATTATGAAACGTGGCCACCGGGCACCAGCAGTTATTCATGAGAGGTTCTTGCCGTAAGTGACATTCAAGAAATGTCTCGATTCCTTACTTCCCCACCCTTACAGAATATTTTGTTTCTTGTTAAACAATGATAATGACAAACATGATTGAAATGAACCTGAGAAAATTCAGTATGTTTAATATGTATCTTTATTCTTGTAGGCCTCTTTTTCGTGGAAGTTCAGATGTGGATCAACTAGGAAAAATCTTGGAGTAAGTAATAACTGTAATTTTACACCAGTGCCCATAGCATTAGAACATTCACGGGGACTTTCCTCTGACGTTCACATAATGCGTTTATCTCTTGTCTTTCCTGCCCCAAGCTGCTGCCGCAGACAGTGTTACTATTTGTGTGGTGAGTGGGGACACGGTAGACCTGCTGTTTTATGCAGAGCCCGTCATGACGGGTGGCCTGACCGCTCTGCTCCGGAGGCTTGTATGTTGCTCGTGTGGATTGTTGCACTGCTCCTCTTTCTTTGCTTGGCTGACCTCCCGTTCTTTAGTTCAGGTGTGTTGCCTGCCTGGGGTCATTTCAGATGCATCCACCATCAGAAGTGGGTTGCTTGGTGGCCTGGTAACCCATCCCTGCCCACTGGGCTTCCTGTCCCCATTGAGTATCCTTTAGTCATCCAGGTTGGTTTGGCATTGTTTCCCTGGACGAAGGGAAATGCGACACAACCCATTTTCCTTTGGAGCACTGCGATAAGAAATGAGAATCCTAGGTTCTAATCCTATGTCTGTGGCTAAATAACTGTAATCTTGAGTAAGTCATTTAACATACCCTAAAAAGAGCTTCCACGGTGCCTGCTGCGTAGTAAATGCTTTTTAAATGAAGGGAAATTTTATCATTCGTTATTAATTGTTTAACCATTTTGTTCCTCAACTTCTTTACCTGAGAAATGAAACTTTGGGCTTAAATTCTCTTTATGTTCCCTCCTTGTGCTTCAATTCCTTGGTTCCAGTTGTCCGTTACATAGCTCCTCGCTGATTTGCAGAGTTCCATTCATGTCTGCATGTGTGCATGTGAGGGTATGGATGCTTTCATGTATCTAGAATGTAAAAAAGCGGGGGGTGCTTTTCTTCTCACAAAGCATGCAGTATGGCATCCTTTGGGGATTTGTGTATTTGCCAAGTCCCATCAAAATTGGGGTGGAGTAGGAAGAAAGTGGGAGTTGTAGAACACATAAAAAAAGCCCTGATCATTGGTCTTAGACATTTTCTAAGAATCCTGGTGATTTTTATGATATTTGTAGCCTGTAAAACTGGGGAGAAGTACCCCTGGAGAAAAGGATTCTATTTTAACCCCATCTCTCCAAGCATGACTGCTTAAAACAGTTGGAACACAACCGGAACCTGACTTTGTTCTTTGGGTAACTGGAAACAGCTCCCGTAGACATCTGTTAGCACCAGTGCCACTGCTGAGTCAGGACCCGGTGGCTTTGAGGTCTGAAAAACATTTGCTCGTTTTATTGTCGGTGGCTGCCTGGGTCCAAGGCAACTGCCACAGCTGCTGTTCCTACTGCTGCTTCTGAACACTTTGTACGATGGGTGGTTCAGGACAGAACTGGCTTCTGAATGTCCAGTTCTTTGTCATTGAGTGATGAACTCCATCTACTCTTCCCATCACTGTTGAATATAGTTGGTGTGTATGTGATTTTTAAGTGGGACGTGGGAAAGTCAGACCCTCTGTGGGAAGGAAAGCAGCTTGCCAGGCAGTGAAGCCCTTCACCTGCTTTCGCTACTGACACCACCTGGACACCTGGGCTACCGCCAGCACTGGTGTCTGCGATCTTGTTAACATTGTTGGTGCCCCTGAGTTTAACGTAGCCAGTGAGATGGACCAGGAGCAACCTTTGCTCAGCCTGTTTGACTTGCTTCCAAGGGAAAGCCGGTTCCACCTTTGGCAAAGGCCTGAGACCCTGGGTTGCAAGCGGAAAGAAGCCATGAAGTCCTACATGTTCTATGCTCTTAGATTTTACTTCTTGGTTGTTTCCTCTAACTGCAGTTATTACTTTGGCGTAGAGAAAAGGGACAATACTGCACCCTAGTGTCACTTCTCAAGTACTTGAAAAATGATTTCCGTCCCCACCTTCACTGCCAGTTACAGGTTTTGTGCTCTGTCATTCTTTCTGGTACAAATGTCAGCTTTTAAGGCTTATATTCAGCTGTCCAAATACTGAAATTTGATGCAGGCACTTTTTAATGGGCCTATCAGAATTTCACCACGCTCACACATGGGCCATAAAAGCTCATACTGTATGAAACTGAATTATGTTTAAAGAAAGTTACATTCACATTCTTTAAGGGGGGGGAAAATGTTGGTGTTTAGGAAGATTTATACTTTCAAAGAACAGCGAGTACTTTGAAAGTGAAACTGAATGCTTTTCGCCTGTGGCATTTTGGAGCATTTTTAAGACCAGAGTCATCGTTAACTAGAACCAAAATATTGGGTTTGGAATGAAGAGAATTGGGTTCACTCCAGGCTCTGTGGCTAAACTCACTATGTGTGGCTTTAGCAGTCTATTTCATTCCTGTAACTCAGTTTCCCCATCTATTAAACAGAAATAGTAATACCTGAATAGTAGTGGTAATACGTGTCATGGGAGGTTGTTAGAGGGATCAGGGGAAGTGATAGACTTACAAACACTTTTAAAAGTTATTTATGTAAACATGTATATAATTATATACCACATATACATACAGAGTCCCTATTTTTCGGAGGGCTTTTAGCATTCAGCTGCCCATATTGCCAGATTTAACTCAATATAAATATATTGAAAGCTGCAAATAAAAAGATTTTAAATTATTACTAATAGTTGTTGTAACCAGTTTCTAGGTAACTAACTGGTGATGGTATGCAAATATATTAATATAAAAAATGGCTAAAAAAATAAAAATGAATGAAAGAAAAATTTTGAAGTTCTTTAATAAGCATTCTTCTTTTCTTCCTCTCCCATCCTCATACATTTTTATTTTCTTTAATAATTTGTAGTGAGGTTTTTTCTTCTTTGCACTCTTATTCTAGATCTTGCTATTAAGCACATTTTGAACAGTTGCCATTTCCATTCATTTGTTCCAGTAAATATGTCCCTGACTCTGTCTTTATCTGCCTCGATAACATGGCTCTCCCAGCCTATCCTACAGAGCCAGGATTGTCTTTGCCCAGACGCCCGCCGGTGGGTACAGTTATGACACACTGTCTGCTCTCCCCAGGGGAGGTCTAGGACCTGGGCTTCGTTTAGGTGAGGGAAGGAGAACAAAGCCCTATAGAGATTCTATGACATTTAGCACCACATCTTCCTGAAACTTGGAAATCCATTCAGGAGAACTCGCCCCTCTGGGCCTTAGTCCCAGCGAGGGCAGACCAAGAAGACCCTAATGCCGGCAGGCCAGCAGCATTTCTAACTGTAGTTTAAATCATTTGTCAGGCCGAAACCGGTTTGGCTCAGTGGATAGAGCGTCGGCCTGCGGACTGAAAGGTCCCAGGTTCGATTCCGGTCAAGGGCATGTACCTGGGTTGCGGGCACATCCCCAGTAGGAGATATGCAAGAGGCAGCTGATCGATGTCTCTCTCTCATCGATGTTTCTAACTCTCTATCTCTCTCCCTTCCCCTCTGTAAAAAATCAATAAAATATATTTTTTTAAAAAATCATTTGTCAGTATTTGAATAGTCATAGATTCTGTTCACTAAATTATAATTTTTTAGTTTAGAATTAATCAGTCTATGTGAGACATAAGTTTTTGCATCCCCTGATTTCCTTTGTTCAAATCTACTTTACTGCCTATACAAATGCTATAAATAAGATCTACATAATGTATATTATGTTGTTTAAAGCCACTGATCTACAGTATTTCTGAAGAACCTTAAATCATGCGTTGCTAGAACTCAAGCAGTTCATATGTTAAGGTGGTAGTGCCAACACATTTTAGATTAATTTGTTAATGTATTATAGATAATATAAATACATAGATAATAATAATGGGTAATGTATTGATGTTGACAAGTACTCATTGTATAAAAAAGACACTGAAATTCATAGAAGTTAAGCAATTTCTTCTTACCTATCCATAAGTGGCAGGTGTAGAATTTGAACCTAGATCTGCCTGTTTCCAAAGCCTGTGTTGTTTTTACATTATTTGATGCTCTGTCCACATTTCTGGACTGAGAATCATTTTCAGGGAAAACATAAATGAATACTGTTTTTATTTATTTGCTCACTTTGGAATGCCTTGAAATAGTTATGCAATAAAAACATATAAATTAATTTTGATATTAAATTATAAAATAGTGTTTGCATAACACAGGACGAACATACCTTTCAGCCTCTTCTTTTTGTCTGAGTCTAATGGATGTAGTTGGGGAATTAATCTTTAACCAAGATTATGTGTTAAGAAATGATGTTACAAGAGCATCATAAAAGCAGGTCAATGCCAAAGTGCTTGATCAGAACACAAAAAGCAATCTTAGGCATAAAGGAAAATGTTCTGTGGCCATGTGGGTCTACTTTTAATACATAGGTCCTGCCCTGTCAGTATATCAGGGCTCATTGGTAATAGAATATTTTCCATTTCTTCATTATCTCTTCTGTTTACTGTCTGCTTCCAGAGGAATCTCTTATCTCTTCCCAGCGGATTTTACAATTCTCCTGTGAGATTACCCTCTATCCATGATCACCGTATTGCAGCTGAACAGAGAGAAATGAGCACCCTGCCAGTCATACAAGTGAGGGGCTCCGGGGCTCTGTGCCCCCCGTGCCTGCCCCTTAGACTTTACCTTCGTCTAGAATTTGGTGGGAAGATAGCTTCTGCGTAGCTGCTAATGCTGATGTTCACATGTGGTTTTCTTTTGTAGCGTAATTGGACTCCCAGGAGAAGAGGACTGGCCTAGAGATGTGGCCCTTCCCAGGCAGGCTTTTCACTCAAAATCTCCTCAACCTATTGAGAATTTTGTAAGCGACATTGATGAACAAGGCAAAGACCTACTTCTGGTAAGTTCAGGCGATGCAGAGTTGATCTGCACTGTGCTGATGAGAGACTTGCCCTGTCCTCTCTAGGTGGTGGGAACAGCATCAGTTCAGCATCACGTGCCACAACCTCACAAGGCATGAGCCGCAATCTCTCTGCAGCTCTCCTTCCCACACCTAGAACGGAAGGAGTCAGTGCTCCCGTTCTATAGTGTATTCTGAACTTCAAATATAGACGTTAAGAGTCTATAGGTCTTAGTAGAAATGTTCTTCAGCTCTGTGTGGGCACAGCCAGTGGTTGGCATGTCTGCAGAGCCATTGATTTTCCCAGTAGGAACTCACTCCATCTTCCCCTGATGGTGGCTCATTTTCTGATGCTTAGGCAATGGTTCCCTCCACTGCCAAGTTACGAATAAGGACAGCTAAACTTCCTCCCCACTGTTTATTCCTACGGCCTGTATCCTTTGAAATAAATTAATTAGAAGTCAGAATATTTGCCTAGACAAAGTCTCACAATATATACAGACTTGCTGACTCCTCTGCTATTTAGGAAAATTTTTACTTGATTTCAATAACACAGGCAAGTACTGACATTACCTTAGGAAAAGGGGGTTTGATGGGCTGTTTCATGTGGCCTGGAAATGGGAAGCCATTCAGAGTATAAGTGCTCTGTCTCTGTTCTGTGCATCACCTGCTCTTGGCACCTCTGCTCTTCTCTGACCCGAATGACTTTTCTCCATCTCATTGATACTTTTCTTTTTTCTTTTTTTTAAATATATTTTATTGATTTTTTACAGAGAGGAAGGGAGAGAGGTAGAGAGTTAGAAACATCGATGAGAGAGAAACATCGATCAGCTGCCTCCCGCACACCCCCTACTGGGGATGCGCCCGCAACCCAGGTACATGCCCTTGACCGGAATCGAACCTGGGACCCCTCAGTCCGCAGGCCGACGCTCCATCCACCGAGCCAAACCGGTTTCGGCCTCATTGATACTTTTCAGTTGCACTGTCTGGTCCTTTGACTATCAGAACTTCAAATAACTCATGGATTCTTCCAGCTCTAACCCCCACTGCTAGCATTTGCCCTGTCAGTATTTCCTACATCAGATTCCGAAAAGGAAGAAAGAATCTGACTGACATACCTTACCTTTTTGCCAGGCTGCTGGTCCCATCAGCTGTGCTGGGAAGGGGTAGGGAATGTGGTGTATAAAATATGGACGATAGGGT